GTCCCCAGCTTCCCCACTATTTTTCTGTGTCCTGACAAAGAAACACAGAGTAACTTGATGGCTCTGTCACCTGGCCAGCTGCATTTCCCCTGGAGGCCTGAGCCCAAGCCAGAGCCTTGAACATTACCAGGCACTGAAAAGGTATTCAGGTTGTTGCCCAAAACACCGAAAGAAACTGGCCCTGGCACTGAGCCAAAGTCCTTGAACCCTCATAAACTCCATACCCTGACCCCCTTGTTTTGGACATACTTTGGTAGAACAACTCTTTCTTTCACTGTCTGTTGTGAGGATATGCTGCAACCCACTCATTAAGTTCTCCTAATAAATGCTTTGGACTGATCACCCTGCCAGTCTTTTTGTCTTGGGCAATCTGTACTTTTCTCAGAGGTTCCCAAGGCCTAATGAAGGGACTTCACACACTCTTAATGGCTTTCCTCTCTCTTGTCTTACCCTATGCCCTCACTTCCTGAGTTAGCCTCCCAAGTACAGGATTACCTGTACCCAAGCCCTTAGTTCAAGCTCTTCTTTGGGAGAACCCAAACTAAGACAATATTTCTGGTGCCCTGCCCAAGGAACGTCAAGTTCTGGCTGTTACTTGGGCAGAGTGTATGGCACATTGGGAGCCAGATGTAAGGCTGAGTGCCCCACAGGGTCGTGGGGTGAGCCTTATGCTGTGCTGAGGTGCAGGATCCGAGAAATAAAGAGACAGGACACAGAAGTACAAAGAAAATGCAGCTGGGCTCGGGGAGCCACACCACCTATAAGCAGAGTCAGGCAAGGCCGGCGAGGCCGGTGAGGCCAGGCTGGCGAGGGTGGTGAGCGAGCCCCAAATGTCCAGAAGCATGAATATTTATTGTGTATAGGTTAGGGGGCAGGGCAGTGAGTGAAATCATCTTGAAGGATAGTGATAGGGTCGTGAGCAATAAAACATAGGGTCTACCCCCATTAGGTCACCTAGGCCAGGAGGTGGACAGCGCGCAGCAAGGGACCCGTTCCCACGAAGGCAAGGGCCCCGTTACCACGAAAGGAAGGGCCGTGTGCAGTAAGGGGTCCACCCCCATTAGGTCACCGAGGCTTGAAGGTGGTCCGTGCAAAATGAAGAGGGTGAAGTGTGCAATACTTCTATCTATGGGAAAACTACTTCTAAGAAGATTTATAGGAGGATGCTTTAAGTTACATAGTAGTGACAGAGCTGTCAAGGTTACTGCCACCTTCTGGCAGCTTCCAATGGATTCTATGGGAAGATGCTTTTCAAGCAGCCCAGTAGCAAGAGCTGACAAAGTTCACAGTCACCAAGGTGGATTGCAGTTCTGAGGGCAGCCTTCCACAAGAACTGGAGCAAGGTCCTACAACTCCTTTATCAGGAGGAGTGGCTCTCGCTCCAAGCCTGCCATGCAGCGGGTATCTTTACTATACTGAACTCTGCCCCTGGGCCATGGATTCTTGTCCTGGTATAACTGTTTTTCCCTTAATTCATGCTCTGCACTGTGTCTGCTCTAGGCATTCCTCCGATTATGAACTAAGATATAATTATAGGTATATATGTAGGGAAATATTCTTCAGGCACTCATGGCACTCATACTATCAACTATTATATGATTATATATAGCGGATTATATAAAGGGAGACTTCAAGCCCTATTTCTATAAACTAATATATGATTATGTAAAGGATTATATAAAAGGAAATAGCTGAGTAGTAACACTATAAAGTGAGATATTCCTCAAGCCCTAACTGTGCCAGGGTTCTGCTTAGCTCTCATTCCTCAGTGCCTAGATGGGGGGGTTACCCACACAGAGGCCTTTCTTTTCCCTTACCCCAACTCTATCGATCTGCCAGGCCCCCCTCAGATCTCTTCATTTCCAAGTTTTGCTTGACTTTTCCAAGAAGAGAGGGCTGCTTCTTAGTATGTCTCTACTGCATCTTTTTCTTTCTTGTCTTGTATCCTGGTGCAGCCTGGTAGTGGGGTCTCTTCATGGTTGTGTGTCATGACTCCCTAACCAGGTTATAAGCCCCTTATATCTCCATGCATCCCCTGTTCCTCCTGGAATCTGGCACCATGCCTTACATGGAAAAGCTGTCATTGACAGCCTGGTGAGATCCCTGAGGGTGGAGTGACTGGGGCAGGGCCCAAGGCAAGAGATGGGAGGAGGTAGGCCAGGAGTTTAAGAAAAGGGGCTCAGCTGGACCAGGAAGCTGGAAACAGGCAAAGATAGAGAAGCTGAGGGGCTGAGTTGTTTGGTTCACCTCTATAGGCCAGAGAGGCCAGGTAACATACACACTGTAGAAAGTGGACTGGGGGGATTGGGGCCAGAGCTGGAGGAGGGATGAGAAGAGAAGCAGGACCAGGGTCAGGATTCAGCAGAGTTCTCCTATTCTCTTCCACAGCCAGGTAATCTTATCTGTCCCCCTTCAGCTTATGCTGTTTCCTGGCAAGGCAGGCTCTCACATGCCTGGACGCCTGGATGCATTGGTGATGGGAAGGAGTGGGGTGAGGGAGGGGCCCCAGGAGAGGCCCCGGATGAGCTTCATCTTGTCCCTCCCCATTCTTGCCTTGCCCTCTGCAAATGTGACAGGCATAGGACAGGAGTAGGCACCTCGCCCACTACTGCTTAACCTTTCAGCTTCCCAGGGCCCCAATCTTGCTTGCTCCCACCTTGGTAAGTAGATCTGCCCACCTTTACACCCCACCATACACTTTTGTCCAGAGATACTAGGATTGGGGCTGGAAAGAAGGAGAGGCCAGGCTAGAGGAGTGGTGGTAGAGACAGTGACAGCCTGGGGTGAGGACTTGATGCCTGTTTACCACTGAGCTCTGGGAAGGAGCCGGGAGTCGGGCAGGTCAACTGACTGGGAGCAGGGGATCTGGGTTCCAAGAAGGGGTAGTGTTTCAGGTGGGGTTTGGGTAATCTTGGAAGTCAGGACTCACAGGCAGAAAAGAGGCAGGCTGCAGGGAAGTCAGGAGGAGGCATGGCCCCTTCTCATCAGGCATCACAGGTGGGGTTTTGCCCCACCCCTGAACGCCCTCTGTGGCCCCTTCCACCCTTCTGTAGGCCCAGAAGGATGTCGGTCTGCTACCGTCCCCCAGGGAATGAGACACTGCTGAGCTGGAAGGCTTCGCGGGCCACAGGCACAGCCTTCTTGCTGCTGGCGGCGCTGCTGGGGCTGCCCGGCAACGGCTTCGTGGTGTGGAGCTTGGCGGGCTGGCGGCCAGCACGGGGGCGACCGCTGGCGGCCACGCTTGTGCTGCACCTGGCACTGGCAGACGGCGCGGTGCTGCTGCTCACGCCGCTCTTCGTGGCCTTCCTGACCGGGCAGGCCTGGCCGCTGGGCCAGGCGGGCTGCAAGGCGGTGTACTACGTGTGCGCGCTCAGCATGTACGCCAGCGTGCTGCTCACCGGCCTGCTCAGCCTGCAGCGCTGCCTCGCTGTCACCCGCCCCTTCCTGGCGCCCAGGCTGCGCAGCCCGGCCCTGGCCCGCCGCCTGCTGCTGGCCGTCTGGCTGGCCGCCCTGTTGCTCGCCGTCCCAGCCGCCGTCTACCGCCACCTGTGGAGGGACCGCGTGTGCCAGCTGTGCCACCCGTCGCCGGCCCACGCCGCCGCCCACCTGAGCCTGGAGACTCTGACCGCCTTCGTGCTTCCTTTCGGGCTGATGCTCGGCTGCTACAGCGTGACGCTGGCTCGGCTGCGGGGCGCCCGCTGGGGCTCCGGGCGGCACGGGGCGCGGGTGGGCCGGCTGGTGAGCACCATCGTGCTTGCCTTCGGCTTGCTCTGGGCCCCCTACCACGCGGTCAACCTCCTGCAGGCGGTCGCCGCGCTGGCTCCACCCGAAGGGGCCTTGGCGAAGCTGGGCGGGGCCGGCCAGGCTGCGCGAGCGGGAACTACAGCCTTGGCCTTCTTCAGCTCCAGCGTCAACCCGGTGCTCTACGTCTTCACCGCTGGGGATCTGCTGCCCCGGGCAGGTCCCCGTTTCCTCACGCGGCTCTTCGAAGGCTCCGGGGAGGCCCGAGGGGGCGGCCGCTCTAGGGAGGGGACCATGGAACTCCGAACTACTCCTCAGCTAAAAGTGGTGGGGCAGGGCCGAGGCAATGGAGACCCCGGGGGTGGGATGGAGAAGGACAGTCCGGAATGGGACCCTTGACCCCAAACCCTACAACCTGCTGCCCTTGCCTGTCCCTTTCCATCCCCCCACCTTCCGGAGCTCAGTGTTCTGGAACGTTTGGGGACCCTTTGACTGGAGTTTGGATCTGGCTGGGTAGGATTACTATACACCTGGGGCAGGCTCAGTTTCCTCCAAACTGAGGGATTATGAGTGTGGTGATGGTCTCTGTTAAGGACTATTTCGTGCTTGCAGTTTGGCATGTACCCATGTACCAGCACTGCTTACTTGTTGCCAATAGCTGTTATTGTGAAATACACTGGGAAGCCATTAGGTGGTGACTTAAGTGTGCTCCCCCTTATCCCCCACACCGACCCGTGGTTCTTCATGCCTGAATTGTACTGAAGCCACCTAGTTCCCTGCGGGTCAAGCCAGGGTTGGGCAGTGCCGGCCTTCGGTGGCATCTTGTCCTTCCCTCCGCAGCCCAGATGCCCTGGTTCCACAGGCCAACCCATAGAATCACCCTGGAAATAAATGAGACAATGGAAGGAGAGCTATGGGAGCTTGGATGAGGGGTAGGAATGGGATCCATTATCTGAGGTTTATAAAAACCTCTGGGGGAGGAAATGGCTCTGGAAGGGGAAGGTGAATCTGTGGATTTGAAAAGGAAACTTTTCCTGCGTATCTTGTGTTTGGTCCAGTGGGTGTGAGAAGCACACAAGGAGTGGACAGTGGTGTAGGGGCCCTGGGAGTCTGAGACTTACCTTCCTCTCTGACCATCTGATCATCCCTGCAAAGGCCACCTGATGTGAAAAGGGGCCCAGGAGCAGGCACTCACTCAGGGAAGTCTGGGAGTTGACCACCAGGGGCTATGAGGAATGGCAGGAATATTTAGAGGACAGGAATAATTTTTTCAGGAAAGTGACACCTCTTCTTTTTTTTTCTGCCAAGTCTGGGCTCCTTCCAAGATGCTGTTAGCTATTCCTAGCCCCTTCCCCAATACTTCTCTGCCCCCACTTTTTGGAATCTATATCTAGGTTTAAAAATGGTTATAGATCCTGACATCTTTAATTAAGGGGACAAAGAATGGGATTCTTTTCAGGGGACATCCACAAGTACACACCTGTGGTCACTAAGGTGACCAACTCATCCCAGTTGGCCCAGGACTTCCCAAGTTTTAGCACTGAAAATCCCTTGTCTCGGCCCTATCAGTTTCCCAACAAACTGAGATTGTTGGCCTCTCAAGCAGCTACCCTGACCATCACCCAAGGTTCTATGTTAGTGACAGTTTACACCTCCCTGCCCCCCAGACGGAAGTCAAAACAGAGCAAAGGAAACCCAGTCCCCAGGGCCATGCTAGGGCCACCAAAACTGGAGTGAATTAGAACCTGTGAACTAGAACAGCAGGGAGTATGCTTAGAGCTCCTGGTCCTGGGTGTGGGGAAGAAAGGCCATCAAGGGAGATGTGGATGGGGAACAGCTTGAAAAAGGAGGCAAGGACAACCCAGTTTCTATCTGAAGGGTCTTCTGGTTGACCCAGGCTTCTATCCCCAAACACAGGTCTCAGGGGATTCTTTCTGTCCTCATGCACTGGGCAGAGGTTCCCTAACTTCCCCTGTTACATATTCCCCATCTCTCACAGCCTATGTGGTCAGAAAGCCCTTCCTCAACTCTGACTTCAGTTCTTGCTGTGGTTTCAGCCCATATCTTTTTTGTCATATCCTCTGCCTGACAGCTACGAAGTCAATTCTGGTCTGGCTTTTCTCCAAGCACAGCAATTGGAGGTTCTGGAAAGGATAAGGACCTCAGTGATCACCATTACACTTTACATATTTCCTGAGAAGTCAGAGTTGAAAGGGAAGCAGGAAAGCTCATGGTCAGTTTGAAGGAAGGAATTTTTAGTTCTTTTTTTTTTTTTTTTTTTTTTTAGATGGAGTCTCGCTCTGTTACCCAGGCACTGAAGTGCAGTGGCACAACCTTGGCTTGCTGCAGCCTCCACTTCCTGGGTTCAAGCGATTTTCCTGCCTCAGCCTCCCAAGTGGCTGAGACTACAGGCACATGCCACCACCCCCAGCTAACTTTTGTATTTTTAGTAGAGACGGGGTTTCACCATGTTGGCCAGGCTGGTCTCAAACTACTGACCTCAAGCAATCTGCCTGCCTCAGCCTCCCAAAAGTGCTGGGGTTACAGGTATGAGCCACCACACCCGGCCAGGAATTTTTAGTTCTTAGCTTTTGCAGGAGACTTCAAGGAAAGGAGATGTTCCTCTGTCCAGGAAAGGGGGAAGGTAACCGTTTCCGCATTCCTGGTTTCTCCTCTTGGCAGAGTGGGCATGACATATCACTGTTCCTGCTCCCTCATTCCTGCTCCTCATGCTCAGGCTGCCTAGCTCATACTCAGCTTCCTCTGTGTGTCTAAAGTGGAACTGGGTAGTGGGCTGTGGGAAGATAGGAAAGAGATGGTACCAATCTCCTTGCCCAGATCTCAAATCCAGGCTCGGCAGGGTAACCACATGGGCAAGCACAAGGCAAGTGCCTGGGGAAAGGGGAAATGATTGGCATAATGTGCGATACCAAAAAGACCATTTGTATTTTGGCTTCTACCAAAGAGAATGGAGAATTGGTTGACCTAAATGGAACCATCCCTTTAAGTAAGGAGAGAGGAGGGGGTGCTGGGAGATGGCCCTCTTCCCACAACCTAGATCATAGCTTGAACTGAAGCCAAGGACAGAGTTCTTCCCCCTTCAGCATTTACTGACATGCCTTCTTTAAATCACGATGTTATCTAACCCAAACCCAGACCCAGGACCTAGTCACAGCTCCAACCTACACTTCCTATTAATCTGAAAAAAACAAACAAACAAACAAAAAAACTGCATTATTAATGCAAAAAACAAAGATATCAGCATTTTAGCCTCTCAATCGGAGGCCCATTTTCCTTCTCTGGCTTCCTTACCTCCTCCTATATGATACAATTCACTACTTTGTTCAGTTCTCCAGTCTAGACCTGCATCTTGAGGCCACACCCAGCCTACTCACTCCCCGCACCCCTCTTTCGTCTCTCACTACCCCTTCCTGGTCTCTTCTCATCTGGCCCCACCTCTGAGGAGTACTCCTGCCTTCTGGGTTGCCCTGGAACACAGACTATCCCCGCTCCTAGTGAAGAGAGTAGGTGAGGGTTTCAGCCCCACCCTCAGGAAGATGCATCTTCCCCCTCCCCTGCTACGTAGTACTTCCTCTCTGGCTGACTTAGCTAACAGCACATAGACCTGGGGCCAGGCCCTTGGCATTGGGACTGATCCAGGGATAGGCTACACCAGCCTGCCCTGACCCTGGGATTGGCACCAGCTTCCAACCAGTACCTGCCAAAGCGTGTAAGTAAGTACCCTGGGAACGGCAGTGGTTGTGGTGGTGGTGGGATGGTGTGCAGCCATGAAAGAAGGTGCAAAGGAATCTCCAAAGAAAGTCTGACCAGTGTACAAAGTTGGGAGGCTTTGTCCTCATCACTTGTCCACTAACTCCTCTCCATCCCTGTTATTTCTGGTTGACCTTGGGCATCTCTGGGGACAGTAGGCAGGTGATTGGGAAAGTTAATGGGATTGAGGGACTCAGGGCTTGGCGGGGCAAAAAAGCTGGCCTTTCAAGGGGTGCAGCATTGGTAGGAAGTCTCTCAGTTTGGTTCTAGGCTTTAGGGTCTCCTAAGGGGAGGCGGCTGAAAAGGTCTGGAAATGCTGCTGCTGCTGCTGCGGTCACTGTATATTTTGCAATTGGGTCTGTGGGCAGGAAGAGGCCCCACAACCCAGTTAGGAAACTAGTCTTTGTACTCAACCAGATCCCTTTAAGACATCAGTTGGCAGCGATGGGAGCAGTATATTTCAGAGGGACCTCTGATGCTGCTGACCCTGGAGACAGACCGGAGTTCTCAGGCTAGGTGTGTCCATGGCCTCAGGAAACCCTTGGTCCTCTACTCTTATGCGTGTGTCCGCACTCACTCTCCAGGTCCTCCCGACGGACATGAACACTACATCTTCTGCAGCACCCTCCTTGCTAGGTGTCAAGTTCATCTCTCTGCTGGCTATCATCCTACTGTCAGTGGCGCTGGCTGTGGGGCTTCCTGGCAACAGCTTTGTAGTGTGGAGCATCCTGAAAAGGATGCAGAAGCGCTCTGTCACTGCCCTCATGGTGCTGAACCTGGCCCTGGCCGACCTGGCCGTGTTGCTCACTGCTCCCTTTTTCCTTCACTTCCTGACCCAAGGCACCTGGAGTTTTGGACTGGCTGGTTGCCGCCTGTGCCACTATGTCTGCGGCGTCAGCATGTACGCCAGCGTCCTGCTAATCACAGCCATGAGTCTAGACCGCTCGCTGGCAGTAGCCCGCCCCTTTGTGTCCCAGAAGTTACGCACCAAGGCTTTGGCTCGGCTGGTGCTGGCAGGCATCTGGGTGGTGTCCTTTCTGCTGGCCACACCCGTCCTGGCGTACCGCAAAGTGGTCTTAAAATCGAACAACATGAGCCTGTTATGCTTCTCGAAGTACCCTACCGAAGGGCACCGGGCATTCCATCTAATCTTCGAGGCCCTCACGGGCTTCCTGCTGCCCTTCCTGGCTGTGGTGGCGAGCTATTCCGACATTGGGCGCCGGCTGCAGGCCCGGCGCTTCCGCCGCAGCCGCCGCACCGGCCGCCTGGTGGTGCTCATCATCCTGGCCTTCGCCGCCTTCTGGCTGCCCTACCACGTGGTGAACCTGGCCGAGGCAGGCCGCGCGCTGGCCGGCAAGGCTGCAGGGTCCGGGCCCCTGGGGCTGAAGCTGCAACTGGCCCGCAACGTGCTCATCGCGCTCGCCTTCCTGAGCAGCAGCGTGAACCCCTTGCTGTATGCATGTGCTGGGGGCAGCCTGCTGCGCTCGGCGGGCGTGGGCTTCGTGGCCAAGATGCTGGAGGGCACGGGCTCCCAGGTGTCCAGCACCCGCCGCGGGGGCAGCGTGGGCCAGAGCGTGAAGAACGTCCCTACCGCTCTGGAGCCCGGCCCTGCCGAGAGTCTTACTGCCACCTCCAGTCCTCTAGAGTCCAACGAACTGACCTAGGCCTCGTGGAAGGACACTCACTTTTCTCCTGGCAGAATGCCAGCTCTGAGCCAGTTCTGAGCCAGGAGCAGCAGGGGTGTGGAGGGCATTGGGGCGTGGGAGGCGGGGGTGGAGTGGAAGAAGAGGGAGGAATGGAACAAGTGAGAGCAGAGTGAGAGAGTGCTCCAGCCTGGCTCCCACAGGCAGCTTTAACCATTAAAATTGAAGTCTGAAATTGGGTCAGCCTTGTGAGTGGGGTACATGTGCTGTGGGTATCGGGTTGCTTGTGGGCACCCTGGTGGGGCCCCTCTCAGTAGTTGAGAGTCATGTCCTTTGGTTCCCCGTGATTTATAATTTTGGAAGGGACACAAAGACAGACATAGACTGTCCCCAACCCAGGTGATTCCAAGTCCATAGTCTGCAGATCATACTTAGCAAAATATAGTCCACAGACTCCAAAAGCAGCTTGTCTAGGAAGACCACCCATGTAGTTTTATCACTCCAGGCCCTGTGACTCAGGGACATTTTGAGAAAATAGAACTGCTGTGAAACATCTTCCCTGAAGCCTGTGATAGGTATCCTTGTTAGCATGACTCTAACTTCCTGCCAATAATCTTTGTCCTCTCCATAGGAGATGTTCTAGGGGATTGCCTTCCTTCCCCCCATTTCACAAGGAAACCAGACTTGAGGACCAAGTCATTAGATCTCATCCCTTAGAATTCTGCACATCAGCATCTGCTAACCTCCACAACACACTCTGGCACAGGGTGGGGCTGAGGGCCCCAGGAAACAAAGATTCCCAAAAGTGAGAGGGATAAGTCATTATTTCCTAGAGATGACTGTTGTTGTAGAGAAACTTGGTCCAGCTCTGTTCTGACAAGGTTTTAGGAAGATGGCAACAATAGTGGCAGCAGTGTACTTTTTGGCTCTTTCTCATTAAAAAAAAAAAACACCAAAACAGCAAGTAGGAGAGTGAAGCCAAATATCCACATGCAACGTCCACAACAAATCTAGTATATTAAGATATCTCCCATGGACCCCAAAATATGAGCCAGTGAGAATGAGCCATCGATACCTCAAGACCCATGTACCAGCATCTGTGCAGAAGGATGCAGAAGGAAGCAAAGGGATATCGGATGGACCTCTAAACTGTCCACAGGTCCTTACTGGAAAGCATGATGTACCAATCTGAGAACAGCAGCTGAAACTGGGAGGGACCTAACAGATTATTTCCCAGACCTCTTGCCCATTCTGTATAGTGAGCACATAATAGGTACTTATTTAGTGTTTGTTGAATGAATAAAGTTCAAATGACATTTCCCTGGAGATTCCTCCAATATTTGTGAGTAGGGGGCAGGAAAGGGTAAATCTTTGTTTTGAGTCATGTGGCCAAATTATGCTTCCAAGGTGTACAAAATACTGGAAGAAGTTGACAGAGGGGCTGAGGGAGTTGTCTTTGTGAAAAAAAAATCACTCCTTTCCAACATGCTCAGTCTCACATGCATGCATGTGTGCACACGCGTGCGCGCGCGCACACACACACACACACACACACACAATTTGGCCTGGGAAGAATACTTCCCGCTGAAGGGCAAAGAGAAGGTGATCCCCAGCTATATAAACAGCTTCTGACATCAATGGGCTCCAGACATCCCAGAGTCTTCTCTTTATTGAGGTTCTTAGAAGGGGAATGGGGTCTCAGCCTAGCGTGGCTGAAGGAGGTCCAGTTCGTGTCAAGTCTGTGTTCAGAAAGTAGGTGCAGAGCTGCCCTTTGCCTTTCACCTTGATGACACCCCGGCTGTAGCAGGTGTAGCCCAGGGACTGTAGGGCCCAGGCTGTCTCCTCAGTCACCTACAATTGGAGGGGGTGAGGGAATATGGAGGTGGCCCTATTCTTAGTCCCCCTCCCCCATGCCTCCAATGTGGTTTTCTCACTTGGATTTTGCCAAGGACTCCTGTGCTCTCCATGCGGCTGGCCACATTCACTGTGTTGCCCCAAATGTCATATTGCGGCTTCTGGGCTCCAATCACTCCAGCTACTACTGGCCCATGGTTCAACCCTGATAAGGGATGTGGTAATGACAAACTTGGAGAAGGAAGAGGGAAAGAGGAAGCACAAGAAACTGGAAGGAAGGGAGAAGGGCATGGGTGGTGGCCCTAGAGGAGAGGAGGTGTCTCTAAGGCTGGAGAATGTAGCTTAAGAAAAAGAGTGGGAGAGCATTGTACCTCCTGGGCCAGTAGCTGCACACCCCATCCCAGGGCGTGAGTCAGGAAAGGGGTTTCAGGGATGAACTGGGAGCAGCTATCAAAGGACTTGGAGTGGGGCAAGCTCAGGAAGGTGAGGAGGTACCAGACTGCTGCAGCAGGGGAGGTCTCTCACCCACACGCAGGCGGAAGTTGTTGAATGAGTGCTTGTTGATGACATCCAGCTTAGACCCCAGGGCCACGGCAAACTCTACCATAGTGCCAAGGTGGCTGCAGCTCCGCTCAGCATCCTGGCAATGGGCCCCCCCACCAGGGTGAGCCAGTGAGAGCACAAGAATAAGTCTCACTGTTGGGCCCATCAATGAGAGACCAGAGGAGGGTGGCAGGTAAGGAAGGGTCGCCATACCTGTTGTGCATCCTGTCCAGAGGTGGCATTTAAGCCTGTGGCTGCCATGTAGGTGCTGCCGATGGTTTTGATCTTCTCCACCCCACTGAACTTGGGCTTGGAGAGCAGCTGTATAGAGAGGAGGCCTGTCCCCAGTCTCTCTCGCTCTTTCCCTCCCCTCTCCCAGAAGCCCAGCCCCAAGCCTTTGGAGTTAAAGGATCAGGCTGTGGGAGTGGGGATGGTGTCAGGAAGGAGAGGGTTGGTGGTGGGCAATATTGCTGGAGTGGGTAGAGCTGGGGGATCAGAGGAGGCGAGTGGGTGCTGTGGAGGGGAGGATTGACCTCATGGCCAGAAAAGCAAAGTGGAAGGAAGGACTGGTGGGAAATTCTAGAATCTGGGGCATAGGGTCTGGGAGACTCTTGGAGTTGTCACCTCATCAAAATCAGCAATTATCTCATTGAGCAGCCTCAGACACTCTAGACCCTCATGATTGATGTCAGATTCAGAGTAGAACTCCTTGAAGTCCGGGACTGAGGCGAAGAGGACACAAACACATTCGTAGGACTGGTGGTAGAGATCCTGGGAGGGCAGGAGACTGGAGTAAGGGGTTCGTGTCATGTTCCTCCCCCTTCTGGGTTTGCGTGGGACCCTCCTCCCTGTGTCCACACTCCTGGTCTCCCTGTTGAAGGAGAATTGGGAAGGAGGGAGAGGAGTAGGGCCAGACTACCCCAGGGATGTTACTTAGGAATCAAAGCTTGGATCTCATTGTGATTCCAGAAGAGACAGAAGTTTGGGGTCAGGATCACCCCACAGCAACATGAAGGGAGTCACTTCTAGAACTGGGATCCTGTCAATGTGAATTATTGTTATATCCTATCTTATTGCTGAAAGGTGTTTAATTAAGCCGGCTACAAAACCAAAGGTAAAAAGTGTTTAAGTGTTTAAGTCACTTAAGATAGGTATAGAATGAAAGATAAAATAAGCAACAATAGGGACTATGGGGCAAAGAGAAAATAAGGGTAAGATTATAAAGATGGAATCAGATCTGAGGGTGGTTCACAAAATGAGTGCCATGAAGTCCTTTTTAGTCCTAGATTTTGGCTCTCAGCTATCTAGCAGCCAAAGTGAAGAGAGAAAAGGATCGATTACAAGATTTCCTGTGTCTGTAAGAGAAGAAACAAGAAGGAGAACTACTCCTGATCTTGAAAGCAGGGGGCAGGTGGCGGGGGCATAAGGCTGTGAAAGAGCTCTGGAGATGTGTCTTTTAACACCCCTCAATATGAGCCAAGAGCATTTCCACAGCAGAGGGCCAGCAGGTGATGGTACGAGTAAGATGGCACAAATATGTGGGTGACTTCCTGATGGTTTGGCTATAGCAAGAGTTTTGAGGATCTAAAGCAGGAGCATCCAACAGAAATTTTTGCAATGGAAACGTTCTCTATCTGCAATGTCCAATACAGGGGCCACTAGCTGCAGTGGCTATTGAGCTCTGAAAATGTGGCTGGTGAAACTGAGGAACTGAATGTTTTATTTTAATTAATTAACATTAAATTTTCATAAGGCTAATGGCTACCATATTGGATAGTGCAGGTCTAGAGAGAGGGGTGGACTGTATCCTCCAGACCAGTGGTCCCCAAACTTTTTGACCCAGATGGAATCAGATCTGAAGGTAATTCACAAAATGAGTGCCATGAAGCCTTTTTAGTCCTAGATTTTGGATGGGCTTCGTGGAAGACAAGTTTTCCACACATCTGGGCAGTGGTGAGGGGATGGTTTTGGGATGAAATTGTTCTACTTCATCAGGCATTAGTTATAGGTTGGTGCAAAATTAATTGCTTTTTTTTTTTTTTTTGCCATTAAAAGTAATTAAAGCCAGGCGCATTGGCTTACTCCTGTAATCTCAGCATCTTGGGAAGCTAAGGTAGGTGGATCACCTGAGGTCAGGAGCTGGAGACCAGCCTGGCCAACATGGTGAAATCTTGTCTCTACTAAAAAATATATAAAAATTAGCAAGGCGTGGTGCCGGGCATCTGTAATCCCAACTACTCAGGAGGCTGAGGCAGAAGAATCGCTTGAACCCAGGAGGCGGAGGTTTCAGTGAGCCGAGATTGTGCCATGTCATGCTCTCCAGCCTGTGAGACACGAGTGAAACTCTGTCTCAAAAAAAAGTAATTATTTTTAATTATATTATTTTTAATGGCAAAAACTGCGATTAATTTTGCACCAACCTAATAGACTCCTATAAGGAGTGCACAGCCTAGATCCCTTGCATGTGCAATTCACAATGGGGTTTGAGTTCCTATGAGAATCTAATGCCGCTGCTGATCTGACAGGAGGCAGAGTTCAGGCAGTGCTGGCTCACCACTCACCTCCTGCTGTGTAGCCCAGTTCCCAACAGGCAATGGACCAGTACCAGTCTTCAACCTGGGGGCTGGGGATCCCTGCTCCAGACAGCTCCCATCAATACCTGACTAAGATTCCAGAATGAATGGAGTGGTCATGAGTTAGAGAAGACATGCCTTCTAAGTAAGAATTTGAAATGCAGAAATTTTGTGCTCACCAAAGACAGAACCTAAGATCTTGTGAAAACAAAGTCGCTTGACAAGCACAAGGGCTTGGGTGTGGGGGGTCTAGAGGGGATGGGTCATAGGTCAAGACTTTCATCCGAAATGAGGCCCTATGGCATCCACGGCTCAGGAGTCAGGGGGTCAGGAGTCACCTCGTTGCGCCGGTTCTGGCCAATGAACTGGGGGGCCACGTGTGCAGGGAGCACATTCTCCAAGAGCAGCCGAGTCAGGTTCTCCATCGTCTCTGTCTCCTCCCGCTCCTGCCTCAGCTTCTTCTTCCACAGGAAGTCCAGGCGGCAGTAGTACTCATTCTGGGGAGAGTTGCCAGGGGCCATGGGGAGACACAGAGCAGGGGAGGCCCAGCTCCTGCGTGTTAAGCCCCAACTCCTTGATGCCTGAAACCAGCCCCACCCTATCCCCAGTTTAGGACTTAAGGTGCAAGTATCCTTGGAGAGAGACTATCCTTGAAACTAGATTCAGACTAGTGATACAGAAGTGGCAACGGACTTTTTCTTATGCATGGGCTTTCCCAGACTGGGGCATGGGAGAAAGGAGGAGTGGGGAGAGAAGGAGAAAGAAAGGGAGCAGGAAGACTTTCTTAGAATCTTCCAGCAGGCACTCAACACTGAAAATTAGAAAGACCAAGTCACAAATATGGGACCACTCATAGGTGTGCCCTGGAGGGCTGAGCTGGGTGACTTACCTGGCGAGCCAGGACAAGGAGGGTGAAGAAGAAGATGAAGAAGGAGATAGCACCCATCAGTTTGGGCTCCTTCAGCACTCCTGGCCTGAGGGGGCCATGGATCAGGATTGCCCCTCGCTCTGCCCCTTCCTGGCCACCTCCCTGCCCCCAGTGCCCATGTAGGCCTCCACTTCCCTCCTGCTTTGCCCAGTGGGTGATTCAGTTCAGTGAGGCCAAGACAGCTCTGCTGTGTCCCATCTCACCCCCATTCCAGGGGGCCCGGCACCTGTGTCCAGCAGCTGTGCACACCTGGAGTCCAAGGGGCCCAGATAGAGGCAGGCGATGAGGCAGTCGGACAGCCAGGCATGGGAGTGCAGGAAGAGGGAGCAGGAGGCCACCAGCCACAGCAGGAGCAGCAGCAGCTTCAGCTCGAAGCTCATGTGCAGAAAGAGGGAGCAGGAGAGGAAGCCCAGCACACAGCAGTGCATGGAGTACTGTGGGGGCAGGCAGGGATCAGGAGTGGGCATGTCCCACAGGCAGTGTGGGGAACACCTGAGGGCTCCCTTCCTATCCCTCCCAGGCTCAGGTCCTATCTGTGAGACCGGGAGTGTCATACACACAGATACACACTGGATGTGACTTGTGTCTGTTCTAATCCACAGAATGGAGTGTTCCTCCACTCAGGGGGCTGTGGGCTTGTGCTGAGGAAGGGTCTGCAGAAGGAGATTAAGGGCATGCGGGAACACTCACTGGAAGACTGATGAGAGGCAGAGACCCAGGGAGCTCCCAGGAGAGGTTGGAAGTCGTGGAGGACACATTGAGAGCTTGGAAAGGGCAGTCTGATGATGCTGGGAAGAAGAACTGCAGAGGGGATGAGGAGCTGAAGAGGCTTGTGCTGGGTTTCAGCAGACCCAGGGATGAGTCATGGTCAGACTCACCCAAAGGGCTGGATCCTGCTATTTCTGGTTGGGAAGGGAACCTCAGCACTAGGGTCCTCACTGTGGGGAGGAGTTATGGGAGGGGTATCAAGAGTATTCGTCTGACATGGAGCCGCTATGTGGGCTCTTGCCAGCCACTTAGCCTCTCTGGGCCTTAGCTTCCTCTTCTGTAACTTGGCTGGTGGGTGATTCCCAGGTGCCCTCCAGGAATAGAATTCTAGGAATGAGTCTAAATCCTGAAAAAGCAGCCAAGTGAGCTAAGTAATAAATAACTGCCTACACAGAAAAAGATAAGGACATTCACCAGTGTTATTAACAAATGTTATGCCCACATGGTAGACTGCTGGTGACTATAATTTTTTCTTTCTATTTATACAACATTGCCAGCATCCCCTGGGCTTAGTCCAGCTGCCTGCCCAAATCCAAGGGTTCCCTTTCAGTCCCTGGCAGGTCCAGTATGCCCTGATGATGGTGGATAGGGCCCCCTCTGTCCTCACCAGGCTGGTAATGGCCATGCCAAAGACAAGGAGGATGGTGGCGGTGCCCAAGGCTATTCTCAGTCCTGGTCGTGTGGCCACAAGGCCAGACAGTGCAGGCAACCAGTGCAGCATCTTGGGGCCTTTCAGGACACACCTCTGTGGAGGGAGCATGAGCATCTTAGCCATGGGGCTGGGGCACCCTCTTCAGGACAGGTTGTGACCAGGGCTCTGCCACGCCACTTCCACCCCTCAGCCCACCTCACCATCAGGTCCTCTGAGAAGCAGACAAAAAGGAGGAGGAGGAAGAGGAGGAAGGTGATGCTATAGGTGATGGCCAGAGCTGGGGGCCTAAAGGGAGACAAAAGCGAGGCCTTGAAGTGCTGGAACAGGCTCCCTGCGTGCTATGCAGGTGCTGTGTGAGCCGGGTGGGAGATGGGGGAAGTGGTTCTGGGGATCTGGGTTGGCTGGCGGTGGGGTCCCGGCTGTTAGAAGACATTGCATTCTGATGATCTGGGTTGGCTGGCTTAGGGGTCTAGAACAGTGTTAGGGGGAACAGGGACCCATACGGTGGGCAGTGGGGGCTCACAAGAATGGCTGAGGCTACTGCAGACTGATCTCTGGGCCTATAGGCCAAAGCTCTTTAACCTGGCTGCGTTTTCTTTTGTTTTGTTTTGAGATAGAGTCTCGCTCTGTTGCCCAGGCTGAAGTGCAGTGGCATGATCTCAGCTCACTGCAAATTCCGCTTCCCAAGTCCAGCGATTCTCCTGCCTCAGCTACCCGAGCAGCTGAGATTACAGGTACCCACCATCACCCCCGGCAAATTTTCATATTTTTAATAGAGATGGAGTTTCACCATGTTGGCCAGGCTGGTATCAAACTCCTGACCTCAGGTGATCCACCCACTTCAGCCTCCCAAAGTACTGGGATTACAGGCATGGGCCACCACACCTGGCCACCTGGCTGAGTTAAGAACAAGTCCTTGTCCCTCCTAGCAGTGAACTAGGAATGAGGGACTACTTTCTAAGCTCACGCATTTGCTGCCAGATTTGGGTTTCTTAATGGAAACAAACCCGCTTTCATGGAGATGTTGTTGGCACCAAAAGAGACGTTCATGAGAAAATGCTTGTGCTGTGTAGAAAGTCCACAGGATGTACAAGGTTAAGATAAGGGCTGTGATTATCATTTTCCCCAGAACACACATTTCCTCTGCTAGTAAGAGCCTGAAGCTAAGGGGAAAGGGTGAAGGAAGAAAATGTGAGCAGGGGTCATGAGGGTAAGGGAATCAGCTTATGACAGCCGGGGCCTCCCTTGCCCAGGGCACTCTCACCTGTTTGTCACTAGCATCTGGATGATGAAGTTGGAGAGAAAAACCAGGAAGGTGCAGGCTTCATAGTATTTGAAGGCGGGGAGTGCAGAGAGTCGGTACTGAAAGTGAGGGGGCCGGAGGTGGAGACAGGGCCCAGTGCTGCCCATCACCTTGAAGACATCACTCCCAGGCAAGAGGTGGGCTCCTCAGCCTCACTGCCCAGCCTCCAGTTCAGTTCCACGTAGACCCTACCAGTTCTCTAAGGAGCTACCCTCCGTCCTCCCCCTACCACCCAGTACTTCTGTCTACAGAGTGACTTTCCTTTAGAGAGAGGCACAAGCTCCTCACTCCTAGGATCATAAACTAAGCAGACCTGGGGAGGACACCCAAGGACTGACCCCTCCCCAGGGCTAAGGAACTAAAGTTGGGAAGTCCTTTGGTGCCGCCCACTCTGCAGCCTACCTCTTTCTCCATCTCCTTCTCTCTGAAGTACAGTGTCAGTGGGTTGAAGTCCTTTGACTGCTTCCACTGTCTGGTGGGAGGTGGGAGGGTGGGTGAGGGCACCAGAGAGCAGAGGGCAGGGTACGGCAGGAAGAGGGCAGAGTGAGAGCAAGACGGGGTGGTCAGGCGAGTCTTCCCTCAGGCCCTCACGGAGCACCATCCCTCCTCCACCGCCCTCCCAGCCCTCTTTGTTCTCCGTACTTCTGTGAGTTGAGCTGCTCAATGACCTGGAAGAACTTGGCATCCCCGGTGTCAAGTTCATCATCTAGTCCCCGGGGAGTACGGCTCCTGCACAGTGAGAGCCAAGCCCATCACCACAGAGACCCTCAGAGCATCTGGGCAAAGCAGGAGCAGCCCCCCAGGGTGGATGGAAGGGTCACCCAGACAGCCCCACTGGCAAAGACTCTCAGGACTCCTCACCGATCCAGGCTCCACTGGGGGCTGAAGGAAGCCAAGGCCTTCTCCTGTTGGGAGAGCACATGGAGGAGGTGGGCATGGTGGGTGTTTTCCCTGCAGTGAGGTACACCATGAGTCACACTGCATGATCTATACATGTCGTTGACCTTGGGCATTTGACTGGGCTCTTTCTGCTCCCTCTAATGACCTCTCTCTCTCCCAAATCCCACCTGCCCTTGAAGGGGTGGTTTGAACCTCCTTAAAGTTTCCCCCTGACTCACTAGACTCCCAGGATCTTTTTTTTTTTTTTTTTTTT